TAGTCAGATCCTAAAGGCTGCCATGGCAATTAACAACATTGTGTTGGCTGAGATGGAAATTCCAAATGCTTACCTAGATAACTCGCCCAAGGTACAGGGCGCTTGCTAAGTTGCTATACCTTAGAAAGTTCTATCTTCATTTTGTCAAAATGTGAATTTATCGTTCTAAAATTTGTTAAAACTGCTTAGTTTTTTACCATTCATTTTTTCATTTTTGTGTATTTATATGTTTAATAGGTTGTGAATGGCTTTTACCTTTTGCCAGTCTCTCAGAGTGGAAAGAATGTCTCAGTGAGGTCATACATCGTTACATAACTGCTGACAACTTCTCCCCCGACCGCCTTCTTGACTACTTAGCCCTGTCATCAGAATACATTACTCTGGAAATGGTGAACAGGATTGAGGCTGCTGTGCACATTCGGAGACAGAAAAGGAATTCAGTACACTCAAAAGGCTGGGAAGACATCATGAGGTGTCAAGCTCAAGGGCCTTGTTGGTGAGATAGAAAGAGTAAGCTTCGAGCTCAAGGAGCTGAGAACCTTTTACACTATTTAAGATTACGCTTTCCAGCCCTCCCGCGGACTGCCTTTATAAGCAAGATCCAACATAACAAGGTAGTAACAGTTACTACTATAGATGCATTATAGTTAACAGTTCTGCCTATCGAAAGGGTTGCATCAACATCACATGCATATCGACTTAGAAGAACAAAATCTACTGCCTGTTTGATTGGATTAATATTTATACAAAATTTGTGAAATGGAACTTTAATTTTGGGCTTACTGGGGATATTACGATGTCATTGAAACTAAAAAATACTTGGGTGTTTGTTTTACTCAAATGTCAAATCTATCTCTGTATGATAAGAGAGGATTTTTTTTTTTTTTAATCGAAACCGTTTCACTTATTTTAGAGTTTGAACTTAAAGACCATATTTTAATTATTGGGACATATCCTTAACCATATTTTAAGAATTATTGCTCGTTTTGCTTGTAATTTTGCTAAATTAAATAAGAGATATTGGACACACTTAAAATAATTTCAAAAATTATAATAATTTAAAATGAATATATTGTAAATTAAATCCCTTATTTTATAGCTTAATACAATATAATTTATAAAATAACTTTTCCAAAGAAAATACTCCTACAGATCATTTTTGATCCTACTCTTACAATTATTAATTCTTTAAGCAAATGGTCCCCAATCCAATTGAATATTGTAATTATTTAACATGGACAGATCAATTAATTCCTTACCAACATGCACTTGACAAATTTCGGTCAACACTTCAAAGTGTTCCCAAACAAAAACACTTTGGGTCAAAAGAAAAATTCGAAGCTGTCACCCACAGCAAATGGTACCAATAGGACCAGAACGGAATTTCGGGGGCAAGGGGAGCCTTGCCCCAAATTTCGACAAATTTCTCAAAAGATCCTTGACCATTTGTTTCTTTTATGGAAAGGCCAACTACTAAATAAGTCAAATTTATAATTTAAAAATTTAAATTAGTCACCTCATAAATTTCTTTTCAAATTCGAATATTTTCTTGGCCACTTTCAAATCGAATCACTGTAGTATAATACTGGATCTGATTTAGGTTGTAGGAGTAATTTTTATTGCTTTCTTACAATATATATATTTTTACAACTGTTTACTATTATTAAACTTTCTTTTGATTTACTTTTAAATTTATTATTTTTAAATTTACTTTTGATTGATATTTTTTATAAATTAATTGTCATATTAATTTATAATATTTTCTGTTAAATAGTTGTTAAATAAAAAATATAAAAATTATATCGTTTTGACATTTAAAATATTGAGATTCTCTATAAAATTATTTAAATATTTTAATAATATTTTTTATATGTTAATTTATTAAGAACACTGTCTTTTTTCCTTATTAATCTTAATATTTTAGTTATTCAAACGTAATAATTTTTATAATAACACAATATTCAAAAAGCTTTAAGTGTTTCACTTAATAAAGAAATTGTCTAAATTAATTATCCTACAGTAATATTTCAATTTTGTCATAATGGGATGAAATATTATAAAAATGCGTTCGAATTCGATTTAATTGTGTAAGATAGGCATTAAGTGCAATTCAGTCCCTTTGCTTTAATTGTTGTGCATATCAGCCACTCAGCTTAAATGTAATACAAAACAACCCTTCTACTAATAAAAACCCGCAAATCAGCTCTTCAGTTAATGATTACATCATTTTTCTATGATAATCTCTATTGTCCCGTTAACCTTAGCTTAGGTGGCCCTTATTGGGCATGACTTGGGAATTTTTTTGAGAACTTGGCAACCTCTTTCATCTCCCTCAACTTGCGTGAAAGACGAAACGAAGATTTACAATTGAATTAGAGCCCAATTCCCTCTGACCTTTGAAAGGCAATAGAAGTCCTAGAGCTATCTGGAAGCCATTCACAAGACCACTTGCTGATCTACCGCTGCTGACATAGTCTCTAGCAACACCAATTTCCTTTTTTCTCTATCTTCTTCCTCCAAAGCTTGGCTCGATTCCTTCCGCAACTCCAAAAACGTCAACCCTAACCCTAAATTTAGGCAAGAGAAGAAAGGGGGACTAGCATACCACCTTCGCAGTCTTTGAAGGATGAGCCTGACGCCATGGTAGTACTACCTCATCCTCCACTTGGGTTTAGTGGTGATGAGGAGGAGGAGGATGAGGATGGTAAGGTAATGATTGGATTGCCATGGCCACCTCTAGGTTTGGGTTTAAAGGAAGATGAAGTGATGATTGGGCCATTGCCAGCAGCGGTAGAGTTCGATTTGGATGAGTTGGATTTGGAGGAGGAAAGCTAGGAAGGGAACCATTATAGGATTCCAATGAGCAATGAGATTGTGCTCAAGGGACGCACTAAGGTATCTACTTTCTAATTTCTTCTAGCTCTATGTGCTCATAATTTCTGTTGTATTGCTATTATTTATTTGTTGGCATTACCATTGATGGATGGACGCCCTATGATGAACGCAAGTTATTGTTGAAGAAATTAGAAACCATAGTCTTATCTTTGTTGAGAAATACAGAAATCATAAAAACTGAGAAATTCTGGTGACTTATTGTCGAAGAAGGCAAGATTATGGAAATAGTCTTGTTGATGGAGTATACTGCAAGAATAAGAGGTCAGTGTAATGAGAAATTTTAACTAGAAGTAATTGTCATATTTATTTTATATATGGGTTAGAGTCTTCATTTCAGGGACCATGGGAATGAAATTTCTAATTGATCTTGGAGGCTGTTTTAGTTAACAACCAATAGGTTTTCTTTCTTTCTTCTTTTTTTTATTTTTTTATTTTTTTTTATTTTATAAAAGTAATAATTAATAAGTTAATATTGTTAGATGCTAACAATTAGAGATTCGATCTCCAAATTTGATGAACATCCCACCAAACTAAACGAGACACGTACCATCTTCGAGTCACCACACTTTGGTGGAGTTCAACCAATCGGTTTTCTCTATTCTATTATTTTCTTTCACGCAAGATGAGGGTGATGAAAGAGGGCGTCGGTTTGTCAATAAAAATTGTCAAATCACACCCAATTAGTGCAACCTTTTTTTTTTTTTGAAACTAGGTAATGGACAATTAGTGCAACCTAACCTGAGGTTAATGGGGTAACAGAGATTGTCAAGGAAAAGTAAACGTCATCATTAACAAAAGGCTGATTTGCGAGTTTTTGATTAGTAGAAGGGTTAACATGCCACAACAATTAGAGTAAAGGGACTATATTACACTCAATGCCTTGTAAGACATTGCATTATCTTTGAACTTAATCTCTAAATTTGCACAAAAAGACAACTGGCTGTTAAGAAAGAATACCGTGGATAGCGATAAATTTTGTTTGGCCCCTCCATTATTCAGGCAGTGGACCTCTCCAAAGTTGAAAACGATAAGTGGGGACTGAGGTGCAGAGGAGGGGCCGCGCCACCACCACCACCCAGGACGCATTCCCGTCCCTGCCGGGTGGACGCCAAAGGCATCCTTCTCTAATCTAATCCCCCTCGACCGAGCCAGTTCCAAACACGAACCAATAAGAATCGTCGCAGCTCCGCCTCGTGATTTTGACGTTTCCTACGCGCACTAGCCACGTCCCGTGCGATTCTCCTTTTTGGGATAATTAATGGGATTGTCAGCGTTTCAATCATGAGCCTACGTATGAAGGGTTTTGTGGGGAGAAGTGTAGTAATTTTCATTTTCCCAGCCTAGTACTGCATAGGGTCAGCTGTCCCTAAAATAAAAGGGGCTACCCTACAAAATTAATTAGTTAAAAATGAATTAAATGAAAAATGGTGGCAGACATGCATGAGGCCATGAAGGTATGCATCAACACAAGTCTTCAACTCCGTTTATGATATGGTAATCAACATGATTGCATACACAATGTTCTTGGAAAAGAAAGGTCACTTCAACGGCTTTCGATGGAGCTATAATTTATGGGTCTAATGGACTCATAAAACAAAAAATAGTCTCACCTCTCCTCTACTTTCCTTTTCTGCTTCTAGCCTCACTTGTATCATTCTGACCTTTGGATGGATCTGCCCTAGTAAGCATGGAAATGAAGAATAGCCTAGATAGAAATTTACAGGAAAAAAAAAGGATAAAGAAACCATTTCAGTTACTGTTTAGATGGATCATGACTGAGGAGAAAAAGACAAGAAAGAAAACAAAGGTTCTAAATTTGCAGTCAAATAATGTACAAAAGAATCACCCTCCCAATTTTTCTGTCCTGATTTTCAGTCAAAACTAACTGTTCAAACCTCTGCATCAATTAAGCACTAATTTTCTCACCGGAAGACTGTAAGAGAAATTGATCACATTCCATGGATGATGTAGCACATAACATCGGAGGCTCAAACCCTGCCAAAAATTCTAAAAAAGAAAAAAGAACACATTAAAGATGAGTGCTCCAGAGAGTAGTTTATTTTGCTCTCTTTTCTTTTCTTTTTTTTTTTTTTTT